ATGTGCGATGATGCCTGTTCAATTGACGTTGCTTGCATGCATAATGGATGCGCCATGTGTGTTGCCTGTTTACTTCAACTCGCTTGCATGTTTGAATGAAGCGTGATCCGTGATGCTTATTTGCTCGAAATCGTTTGCATGTTCACGTATGTTCGCGTATTCTAATTCTTAGATAGGCACTGTTTCATGGTAATGACTGGAAATCGCCTCTTGTTTGATCTCCTGAATGTTTGTCTCCTGCAAGAACTGTGGCTTGCTCTCCGGTAGGCAATTTTGAATTCACTTCTGCTATTGTTTCAATAAAGACATCTTACCGAATTATCAACCAATCCATTGCTCCACCCTCCTGGTTCCTCTCCGAGCGATAAGTCTATTAGTACTGTTTTATCTATGTGAATATTGTTCCTCGCGAATGCACTGAGCAAATTACGTTATTTTAAACCGAATTGTAGGGTAAAAATGACGTCAGAAGTAAATTCCGTGCTTCAGGTTGCCTCCTTTATTCCCTATGAATTATTCACTCTTGGGCGCATATCAGCCTGTTTGGGCACCTGGAGAATTTATCCAATTTGTGCATGAAATGTGTACAAGTTTGAAGTTGGAACATTTTGCAGAAATATTTGTCAACATCTTAAGCCACAGATCATATAGTTAAAGACAAGCAGAAAAGGAAGGAAACATGTAATTTTATCATACTCGTATGATAACAAGAAAAACAAAAGTAATTAGACACCTGTAAATACTGATAGTTTGCTGGTAGCTTTTGGTAATCAGCGCATTTCACCCAAAAAATGTGCTTAAACGGTGATACTCAGCTTTTAAATTTCTTTAGAAGTCATTTCGTGAATTTTTCAGTCCTGCATTTCGGAAGTGGTGCAGTTTAGTGGTCAAGTTTATTCGGGTAAAACAAATATGTGGATGAAGTTCCTTGCCGGGCTTTGCCGGTGTTTGTACCAGGCTTTGCTGGTGTTTGTACCAGGCTTTCCTTTCCTTTCGCGGCATGGTGCTTGCGTGGTACGACCAAAAAAAGACGGGATGCGTAAAAACCCTGCATTTGGCACAAACCTATAACTTGTGATGCATTTTGTAAAGAAACTAAGCTTGCTGCATGCAAGCGGCTGGAGTCGCTGGGGTTCTCGGGCTTAAAGGTACCTGGTGCCCTCGCTCTGTGCATACGTAGACATGATTCAGATGTAGGTGAAGTAGGATATAGCCATAGGAGTCCAGGTTCTGTGGAGCCTTGTTTATGCTTGATGCTTTCAAGTGAGCTCGGCTTTGGATGACATCTTAAAACCTCGGAAAGGGAATTATGGATTTGATATGCGCGGCAAGACAATATCACGTAGGAGTGAGCCATTTACATAAAAATATGTCGAAAAGGAGTTTAAACATTCCTCCTCATAGGGTGCCTCCTCACTTGCCTTACACCCGAAGTCGGCATTTCCAGGACACCGCTTTAACACGCCGCGAAGCAAACTGATTACGTTCATCGAAGATGATATGGCGAGCCATGATTCTTATGACTAGCAGAGTGCCTAGGTCATTGATATTTTATGCTGTATTTTATGCGAAGTGAATCTTGGCTGAAAACAAAATATGTGAAAACACTGATCTGAGGGGCATCGGGAAGGCACTTAGTCACCACAGATGTGTAAAGTCAGCACTGATGTAGTATAGTTTAAAGTATATTGCTGTCACCTGCTAAAACCTGTCCTTTATTTTTGATTAATGTCCCTATGTTCTCAACATATTGCGGCCGAAACGCCGATGTTTCGACACGTTATCTTTATAAGCTTACGCTGCAAGCGGTAGCGAGTGTAGACCAATACCAAACTCTGAGTTTCGTTACGCTGGGACGGTCTGCTGTAATATGGTCTGGTTTGTTGTAACTTGTTCCCATGTTGGCAGTGTTGCCACCACATAAGTTGCGAAAGTGTCCGTTTTTGGTAACTTATCGCATCCGGTAAATTCAAAGTTTTCACCGCGTGCTTTTCTTTTGGGAGCAAAACAGCTTGGAACAGGGCTACCCAGAAGTACGGTAGGCTCCAGTGCGTATGTTTTTTGAACTTGTGGGGAAGAGGCATGCTCAATGGGAGAACCTTTAGAGAAGCATATTTGGGGAACGAGTGACAACCATGTTTTGGAGCGAGGAGTGGAAGAGTGCGTATGTTTTGAACATTATTTGAAATGCTCACGTTTTATCGCTTACATTTTGGTGTCCAGAGCTTGCCTATAAGAGGATTACGACAGCCACACATATTTCTATTTCTGTGAGCATGTTCATAAATATGACACAAACTGCCAAATGCATAATGGCAAATTATGCACAGATCCCACTTCTCATTATGTTAGAGAAAGGTGCAGCGGCATCCGTTCAGCTTCGCAAATACGTGCGTTTGTAAGAAGCCGATGCAAACTACCAGACCTTCACTCGCGTTTGCTGTGACTGCGCACAAGAGCGGGTGATGCTACATGGGGGGGGGGGGGGGGAGAGAGATGAATGCCTTACAGCTGACCAGAGATCCAGAGATAAAATTCAGATTCCCAAAGGTAGAACCGAAGGCCCGGACAAGGCTGCTAGCCTACCCCACCGCCGTCACCATGGTGTGGGCTGAGGACCCGCGCGGAACTCCCACCTTGGCGTTTGCCCACGCTTTCATCGGAGGAGACGGAGGGGTCTCGGCCCATTTACCGCGTGAGGCCGCATGGACTCGGCCCCTGCGTTCTGTCTGTAGAATTCCGGGGTCGTACGAGAGGCAGACCTGAAGTTGTCGCTTAGTGTTGCTGTTATTTCCCGAATAACGCCACGAGCGAAGCGTGCCACTCGATCTCCCTCAGAGCAGGCAACATGACACACAGCTT